AAGAATACTCCTGAGCATGAGCAGAAAGTAATACTACTGCTAATAATAATAAAAAAGAAAAAAAAAACGTTTTATAATGAATATATTTTCATAGTTTAAATGMTTTATTCTCACAAGTGAATCATAAGCGTTGTTGCTTTTAATTGGTTAGATATAAAAYAGTTCTAAGTTTCGCCTCCGTGTAATCTTCGACCGGGATGTACGCACCTCTAATTAAATGTCCCGTTTCACCTTGTTGTCCCGACGGTCCTTGTTTTTGTCCTGAATGTCCTTTCTGTCCTGCTTTTTGTCCTTATTGACGTTGTTAAAATCTCTATAAAAGTTTTAATTTTGTGAAAMTTTGTCATTCTACATTAAGACTTCAAGCTGTAAACATGGTGAATCGAGTATGCCGCGATTGTCCGATTCCTGGATGTGGTTCTAAATATCTTGTAAAACTGTCAAATCATCTCACAGATGTGCATGGATTAGATTACGAAGAAAGAAGAAAATATCTACAAGAAGCCAGATTACAACCAAAAGTTAAAGTGATTAAATACGAAGATGACAATAACAGGACATTGAAGTATCGCATGATAAATCAACAACAGCAAGAGCCTGCGAACATTACTTATCATCATTCAATGTCAAGAAGCCAAAACGTGGATGTCATAAAGAAGAAGCACAAATTAAGAATGTCTCAGAAAAGAAAGTTAAAGTGGGCCATATTATAATCCCTTGTCAAAAAYTTTTAAACAGTGAATTAAACACATTAAAAAAGCCTCTTTTAACATATCTTTTTTTTTATATCAAATCATTTAACAGTTAATCATAGTTCATATCAATTATGATATAAATGATCTGTAATATATGGTATATCGTTCTTGTATTATTAAATAGTTTAAAGTTGTTTTGAGAGCGTGAATCGGTTGACTAATTAACATGCAAAAAGAGTTCTGTTTGTGGTCTTTGTTTGAATTAAGACAAAAGAGAAGGGATTAAAACTGTCATATTTACTATGTAACACAAAAGTGTATAATAATAAAACCCGTTCACAACACACGACTTCTGTAATAATTATTTTCTAAAGTTTAGAAATATCAAACGACATGWAAAGTATTAATACACTTGGGCTAAATTACTAAGGATCCTGATCCGCCATTAGTTGCATCAAATTGATAGACATGTACATATGTTTGCAAGTCTTGAGTTATTATAGCAGCATACATCGTCACTCTACGGCGGATCTCGATCCGCCGTTCACCTTGTTCCATTGTTTTGTCGCATCTAATTAGGTTAATTTGTCCGATTCGCAATCCGCCATGATCCGCCTGTCCGATCCGCAATCCGCCATGATCCGCCTGGCGTTGAACCCCTATTTTGTATACTACTATGGTGTGATATGGGAATGGTGTCATGTGATATGGTAATGGCGTGATACAGTAATGGTGTGATAATTGGTAATGTTAAGGGCAAAACATGTGCATTGGGCTCATCATTATCATTATAGGGAATATTTCATCATTATAAAGAAATGTACAAACGCATGGTGCAACCTTAGGAAAGCAATTATAACAACAATGTTATTTTTATGAATTATTGATCTTTATTAGGTGTTACCAAGTGATGATGTGATGGCAGATTTGTATCGATTAGCAGTAGAGGTATGAGAGTGAATCTTTTCTATTTGTACATATTGACAATCATTACTTATTCTTTTGTCTAAGAATATTAATTCAATGCATACTAGATTTTGGAGAGTGAAGGCTATGAAAGATATGAAGTATCAAGCTTTGCAGAACCAGTAAGTTGATTCCATGTTCAGCTGTCCATACTGTATCAATGTGTACCCAAATGGCTTAGCATGTTGTTATTAATTTAATGTTTTCTTCTTCTGAAAATGTTGGACTATTATTCATATTYAGTATCTACATTATAAATTATTATGTTAAGAGCATAATATACAAAAATTAATCATGTAAACTTTTGAAAACTAAAAAAGTCAGCATATTATTAAATATAGCAACCTTGTCCCACCCCAAAMACCTAGCACCATCACACTGACGAATCAGTGGAGAAGTATCTCTACTTACCTTGGACGAGGGAGGGAGGGAGGGCAAAAATCCAGATAGCATYGATTTYGTATGTTGACTTGTAAATTAGCATTGGAATAGCATGTCATGCTAGCGATAACTGAAATAGCATAAATCGAGGGCGAGTACATCCCTCTCTATGTCCAATGACTAGCTTGTGTGATGTACATGTTAATCTATTGCATAACTCTAGAAAAAAGGGCGCCGAACTACGGTATGCATACTTTTATAGCAAAAAGAGGCTWCTAATATTGGTTTAACTTTTAATTTTTTTATTTAATCACATTTAAGTGGAATGCCAGTCAATTGGCTCTGAAGTCAATTCTCTACCAGTCAATTCATTGCTCAAAAAGTCAATTTGTTACAAATGATGAGTTGATTCACTACACGTTCATATTACAATATAATTACTATAAGAATTTTATTAGATGTTTGAATGAATTGAGTTTTAAAACTTGATTTAAGTTGTTTTTTTTTTGACAGTGGTAGTGAATTGACTTCGGAACGAATTAACCWGATACCTTTAATAGGGTGCCTTCCAATAGTCAGTCTTTCTGAATGGCCTGCAGACCCAAAGAGAATTYGTTAATCAAAATACAGAATTGATTTCTAAATTTTATTCAATAGTAAAATGGAAACTTTAATTGGATATTTCAAAAACCTCTTTATAAAAGGCATTATAATTGTGAATAGACTACATGTAGTTGGAGCTAATTGGAAAGCAGCCTAAGTCTACTACCATTAAATGTATGTCAGCTTACTACAACATTGTGTTTTGTAAATAGAAAAATAAAATATTATTCAATGTGATTATTAAATAATAAAAATGATTGATTTCTAAACTCAATAAAATTCATTTTAAAGGGATCAGAATGTAAGCATAATCTTTCTTACTGGACTGGCTCATCATACATTGGTGTTGGACCTGGTGCACATAGCAGGTGAGTATACATTATTTTAATAATTTTATTGAAAATTTTTTGACTCCATGACTCTCAAATGATTGCAGTTGGTCTCATTTTATCCAACTTTCACGGTTGGCTAACAGATGGAGGTAGRRGCATCATTTGTATTGAAAASTTGATTGAGTTGGTATCCCTGTGTTGTATGAACACCAATGAGAAGGGCAMCCACCTACAACTGACAGCCATCCGTGACAGCTGGAGACAGTTGGAGAACATGTATCCCTGGGTTGTAAAAAAWATCTGTAAAATGAAAATATTGAACTTGAAATTTTAARTTTAATAAATATAAGATTAAAGCTACAAAGCAGGCAATCTGKCYCAGACCTTAGAAATCTCATKTCTTTACCACGTTAAACACCGAGGTGTTGTCCCTGCCACCCATCTTGATTACAGATTGGTAGTTACTAAAAAGAGGAATGACSTAAAATGAGCTAAAATGAACTAAAATGAGCTACAATAAACAACATTTAGTGAAAGAAATGGTGATATGTGTTTGTATTATCGTACTTGGACACAACAAAACCGCAAACTGTCTCAAAATGTCCATTAAATAAGCATTTATAAGATTAATACCCACCTCAAATATAKCCTGCGTCGCATCCATCTACTCAACAGGTGCATTAAAGAAATCTAGTTGTCTAATCAATAAATTATTYTTTTTTCTCTTATTGTTTTTATTCTTTTTTATTATTCAATTTTTGTGATTTTACATACCGTACCCCAGGTACATTATTTTAGCGCTGAAACCGTGGCGT